CTCTTATATGCGGCCATGGCCACGCCCCCTCAGGCCACGCCCCCCCGGGCGGCGCGGGCCGCGCGCTACGTGAGGCCGGTCACAGCGGCGGCCGCAGTACCGCGCATGCGCCGCCGCCACCTCCGCGCCTCCACGTGGGTCCCTCAGGGCCGGGGGATCCCCCGGTACCGGCACCCCGGGACACCCCGCGGTGTTTTTGGAGTGAAAGTTGCCAGAAAAAGGCCGGGATACCGCCCGCTCCTTGCCGCCAGGGCGGCTGGGCTCAGCGTCGCAGGATAATTAGGCTGGAAAAGAGCTCCGGGACCATCGAGCCCGGGCTAGGAGGGCCCGTGTGTGCTCCCAGGCACATTAAAAAGCTGCTTGGGTGAGTCTTGCTGTGCGAGATCCATGCTGCCTGCTGATTGCTTTCCAGGAGTTGGTAAATAAACCCGTTACTTGTTCCTTCCAGCGATTAAGTTGGAATCAGGGGTGTTGCTGAGCCCTTTTTTCCTTTTGCTTTAGGCGATGGTTTCAAGTAAAGGATCACCCTCCTCACTAGCATAGCCAGCCTTTGATCTTCACCCTTTAAAGGCAGGCATTTGTGGCCACTGGAAACCTTTCACAACAACCACAACAGAGAGCTGGCAAAGGGATAAGAGGGGCCAAACCCCCCCTGTAACACACATTTCTTAGCAGGGTGACTGAGCTTCTTTAAAACCACCTCGTTCAGAAGAGGGAGCTGGAGGCTGGAGACCCTCACCTGAGATTTCTCCCTGTGCCCAGACTGTCACCTCAGCTCCTCAGCAGCGCCTCGGAAAGACCAAACCTCGGGTGTTTTGTCCCGTTTTTGGGGGGTGCTGGGATGCAGCGAGTCTCACGGGAAGCACAAACAAGGGCACGAGGTGGATTTAGTCGGTTCTTGTCCAGCTGTGGACACAGATGTGTGCACATGGCCAGCACTGCGAGTGCTGCTGAGCCAGAGCAGGAAGAAGGCCAGTTTTTAGTGGAACTATCCGTCAAAAAATAAGCCTTCCCTTCCTCTCATTTTGGTCGCCTTCCAACAGAAATACAACTCCTACAACTAGCAGGAAACGCTGGAATGATATCCAAGCTTCTAGCTGAGGCATCCAGTTAAAGCCCCATTATCCAAAGAGTCCCTTACATCTAGCCAGAGATTTAACAGCAGCTTCTAGAGATTTGGCTAAACCTCACACGCTGCAAGAGGCGCAGTCAGATTTTTTTTTCAAGCGAGGTCTGCTGCTTTCTCGTCCTCTTTTACACTCTCCAGATATTTTTAGGGAGTAAGGCAGGGAGTGGGGAACACCAACAAGTCGGTCAGCGTGGGGATGAAGGCTCCAGCTCATTAGGTTTGATTAATGAGGCTCCTGCATGGGATGAGACATCCCGTGCCCAACCCTTACACAGAGCCTACCCAGTTCCTTGCAGTGGTTAAGCTTGGTCATATTCCTCGTCCTCTTGGAACTTTTTCCACACCTTCAGCATCTTTTTGGAGGCAGTGACCTGCTGTACAGTGTTTTAAGGCACAGGTGAGTCATATTTATATCAATCCACAACAGGCCCAGCTGTCTAATACCTAATAGACACGATTCTAACTTCAGAGAAAAGCCAGATTTGGGTAGTTTGCCTCTAAAATTTAATGATGGGGGGAGGCTACTCATTAGCTTTCTCTTTAAAGAAGTGGTTTGTCTTTCCCTAAGCTTGTCCTAAAAAGAAGGACTCTCTTTTTCTTTCCAAGAAGTTCCTTGTGGCTTGACCACAAGTTTTCGATGTGAATTTGCTGGTTTAATGTGTTTAAGACAATTAACAGTTGTTTTACAAGGGCCAGCTGTGAGCAATTCTAATGCTCATTTCTGCTTATTGGGGGCAACTGGAGAGACACAAAACAGAAAGAAGAAGCAAGATTAGTAGTATAACCATTATTAGCCTGGAATTACATTTTCCAGACGCTTTTGTGGCTTGGAAAAACCTTTTACCAACTCTTAACCCCAGTATGAGTATTTTACAAACCCAGATTTGACAAAAAAAAGAATTTTTAGCCACACAGGACCAAAGATTTGCCTTGATCTTGTCCATGTAAGAGATGATGTTCCCACTGCTTGTGACCTCTTTGCTTGCTCTTTCTGCAGCAGGAGAATTTCTGGGATTCACTTCCTCTGGGGCCCTGCCAAAGCTCAAACTGGTAAGCTACAGGAAGCTGTCAGAGATGCATTTTTGTGTCCAGGCCCTCACTTCACTCCCAGGATTGCTCCCAGCACAGGGTACAATGTCTGCAAGGGACTGATATAAACAGTTTAGAGGTGCAACTCAGAGCCCCAAAAATACTTACAGAGAGACAACTCAAGTGCCAAACCAACAGCTGCTACCTGTGCTCCTTGAATTAAAAGATTAAGTGAATAAGTGACAAGCAAGCCTCTGTTTCAAAACCATGCCCCTTGCTTACGTGCTGCAGAAATATCTGATGGGGCAGTTAATGTGTGAAGCCTCGGAGAAGGCACAAGGGATCTCTCACAGAGTGCTTGGCTTCCCCCTGCTCAGACCAGCAGCAGAAGTGCAGGCTCTAATCTCATTTTTTCTGCCTCTCTTCCTCTGGCACACGGGCCAGGTGGACACATTTTGGGCTAATCCAGCCCATGGGGGTTTCACCTGAAAAGGAGAGGCCAGAGCCCTGCCCTGGCTTTTAAACCTTCCTGTGACAAACACCTGGCTGCTCTGGGCTGAGCCAGATGGAGGGGCTGTCCCAAAACTTGATATCCCAAGTATCTCCTCCAGCTGCTTCCCTCTAAAGCCAGCTCTTCTTGCAAGATGCGTATCTGGGGGCAGTTGGGGTCAATAAATCTGTTAAGTTTGTTTTAACAGCAGGGTGGATACTTCCCTTAGAGATTATATTTCAATCCTTTATCTTATTAAGGGAAGATGTGTTTTGTCCATTAATCCAATTAGCCCGGTGGATTAATAAGACTGGGCTTGCTTTGTTTCAGGAAGCATAAAAATAGCAGTCAAGCATAATTAAACCTAAACTTGTAAGTAATTCTGGTAACAAGAGTACTATTTCCCTGGATATTCTGTTTATTATTTTTACGAGCTGTGCTCTCAAATTACATGACGTGAATTCTCGATCAGAACAGCTCGATTCACGACCAAAGAGCAGCAGGCTGCCCTGAAAACATTCACTTTTTGTATGTTTATAAAATTCTCTTTGTGCTAAATATAGTCAGGTAGGCTCCAACCCAGGGTAAAGTTTTCAATACCCGAGAGGAATCTGTTTGCTTGCAAAGGAATGAAAGCAATTTGTCATTATTCTGACGTGCCCTGGCTCTCTGATCAGAGCTGTTCGCTGACAAATCCAGCTGTGGGTATTTGGCTCAGCCTTTGGATAAATCCAGCTTTTGGCATCTTTTCCTGCTGGAGGACTTATGGTCCTTTCCTTTAAACAACACTCCTGTGCTGTGGATACAAAACCCAGAGAAGCTCGGAGTGGGGGAAACGAAAAGGAAAAAGGAGAGGGGAAGTAAGGAAGACCAGGAACAAACTCTGGGAGTGAATCCAGAGCAGAACTACAATTCCCAGCGCTCCCAGGGAGGGAAGAGTGACTGGAGCCCAGCGGAGTCACTGCAGAGCCGGAGGTCACCCGAGATCCCGGCGCAGTGAGCAGGGAAAACACAAACACAGCACAGTAAGTGGAGAAAATCCCCGGGGAACGGGACTCCCCAAAGTTTGGGACGGCCTCTAGAGGTGTGGAGCCTTTGCTGTCTCCAGCTCCGAGTTTTCAGCCGTCCCAGCCAAAGCCTCAGGCTCTCGGGCATTCAGCTGCAACTGCTGTCCCCTAACTCAGGGAATTCTGATATTTTGTCTTTCACTCTCTCCTGGCATCAGCGCCTTTCCCACAGATCCAGTGTGTGCTGCAATAGGATGTGTGGTTGGGTGGAGGACATTACAACTGTGTAGGAAACCAGCAAAAGAGCAGCCACCTTCTCTGCCCTTTTCTCTAGGGGTTTGGGACAGGAAGGTCTAATCTAGTCTTATAAGTTCTGTAAGGTCTGTGCACACTCAGAGATGGAAACAAACTGAGGTGTCTTTAAGTAGTCTTAAAACTGTCCTGAAATGGAGTTTGAAGCGTGACTGAAGTGCTCATTTTAGAAAGCAGATTCCACAGACTCTGTGAGAATGAGATTTACCTGCACCTTTTAAATCAAACTTAACCTTGCAGGGCTGCTGCATTATGTTTTATGCCTCTTTTTTTCAGGTAGAGACACCAGCTGTAGGTGTTGGTTATGGCTGCAGTGTATCAAGCACTGCACAGGAGGGTTTCCTCCCTCATCTGCAGGTTGCACTCCACCTATGTGAGAAAAATGAGGTAAGCTCTCATCTGGTCCCTGAGCACTGGGGGGCAGAGCTTGGCACGAGGAGCCCTAGCTAACCCTGATCAGGGGGTTAATCCTTTAACAGTTCAGCCATCACACACTAATGCTTTGTGAGCTCTGTAAATGCTAACAGCCGAGGCAAGAGCTGGTTCTCTCTGGCTAAAGCTCTGTCAATGATTACCTCTCCTGGCTGGGGGGCTCCCACAGTACCAGACTTCAAGTGGTGCTGCTCACCTCATTTTAAATACTGCTTCAAACAGCCTGAAAGGAGCACAGCCTGACACCCTTTTTTCCAATGATTTTTTTTTTTTTTTGCTAACTCAGCCCCAGCCAGCTGTGCCCTCAAACTTGGGGTGTTTACCCCTCACATCAGTGTGACAGGTACAACACAACACATGTAGCCTGATGAGAACCAGATTCAACATCAGAAGTGCTCAGCAGTTCAGCCAAAACAGCATTTGGAGCCATCCAAATTCACAGAATATTCTGAGCTGGGAGGGACTGGGGGGATTAAAGAGAAGATCAAGGTTTCCTGCAGCCTTTACAGCAGACATTGTGGATTGAAAGACTGGGTTACTGAGCTTCTTGCATCTCCAAACTTGAGGGTGTTCATGTGGGAGGTAAGAACTGCTATATTTTCTGCCACACAAACCACTAGAGGCTGCAGCCCACCAAAGAGTGACTCAGCTGTGGAAACTCCCCAGGCACGTGGATTACCTTAAATCTGATTTTCCCATTCAGCACCCCCCTGCTCTGTGCAAAATAAATGCCTCCAAATAAGAAATAATCTCAACATGATCTTCAATTAATCTTTCCAACCATTTTCTCACTGCAGATACTTAAATCAGCTGAAGGAAGATGACAGCCTTTGTAGACAAGCTCAGACCTCGGGAACTTTCTACCTCTTTCACAACCTCTCCCCCTTCCTGCAGAAAGCTGGGAAGAAATATTTGGTACCACAGCTCAGTGCAGCAGGTAAGAAGAAACCAGTGCATCCAGAAAGAAACACCTGGTGGGTCACACATGGTGTCAGCCTGATCTGTTCTGAGGTGATCAGGTTTAAACATTTGGAACTGTGCCCTTTGAAGAGAGGGGGTTGGCAGGAAAACAAACAAGGTCTTACTGACAAATGTCTGTTTTGGTGTAACGTAGCAAAAGTTTTCTTTGAAAGAAAGGTATTGCTTAGTGCAGGACAAAACCGATGGACAGCTTCTCCCCAAGCATTACAACATTGTGATCTTTAGCCTGACATGGTCTAAATGTCCTACAGCTTAGGAGGAAAGCCAGATTTTAGGTTTCTGCCTGGGTGGGCCCACTTGTCTGGTCCCCTTTGACACAGGGGCATTCTGCCTTGAGCCAAGATTGCCCGTGCCTTGAAGATCCACAGAGCACCACAGTTGTATGGATTTGCTTTCACCACAGCTTTCTCTTCCCCTTTCCCTGCTGTTTAGAGATGAAAGGGATTCTGGAGAAGTTCCAAGAGGCTGAGCAGTGGATAGAGAAGTCAGTGCTGATCGGCTGTTCGGACGAGCACAGACCGCGCTTTGCGCTGGATTTAGGTGGGGATGACTCCTCTTCCACCCGTGCCAGCACCAGTTTGATGCACTTGGGATGGAGGTGCTGCCAGGCCAGCATCCCTAATCCTTGGGAGAACCTGTCCTGGCAAGGAGGGCCGGGTGGAGGCTCTGCAGGAGCTGTTATGAGTGTGGCAGGTCACAGCCACAGGCTGCACTGCTGCTCCTGTGTGAGTTAGGAAAGGTGGGCTGGGGGAGGCCACTAACATTTGGGAAGCAAAGGGCACAAAATTGGAATAACAGCAATAATAGCTGAAAGTTATGAGATCTAATTTTCTTTTTTTCTTTTTTTTTTTTTTTTCCTTTCCTTTAACAGGAGCCTTGGATAAATCAGTCATTGAGTCAGAACTGCAGGGATCATTTACTGACCTACGAAAAGCTCTCTTTGTAGTGGACGGGGAGGATTCTCCTTTGCTGGCTTCGGTATTGGACAGGGCTTTTTACTTTCGGGGAGCTGTGATCTCTAACACCATCCCTTCTCCTCATCTCCCATATTGTTTTATGGTCTAATATTATAGAATTACCTGCTGTACGCTTTCAGGAACCTAGGCACACTATATAAATCACGCCAGTTTTCCCAAATTTGTGGTCCCAAAAGGAAGATGCAAGGGAAAGAGGAACAGACAAGTGACTTAAAAATGACTGCAGTAATTTAGGCCGTTGAGCTGAAATGTGTTAAATCACAGCAACCCCAGTTTGTCCTCAGGCAAACTGGGTATCACAAACAAACAAATACATCTTCTCTCAGAGCTGCTCTTCTGAAACCTCTCCCTCATAAGCTGGTACTCTGCAGGTGCCCTGTGTTTGGGAGGCCTAAGAGAGCACCTGTCTGTGAAAATCAGCTCTCCTGACCTGTAAGGAGAAATAGCTCATGTTTCCTTTCCTGCTCTATAATGTTGGTGATGCCTGGGCTATTTTTAAGGAAGATACTCAGGGCTGGAGACTCTTTAGAAATAGTCCAGCTCCCCATACAACTCCCATTGTGTTCCAGTACACGACAGCTCTTGCCCAGCTTCCCCAGACACACTCAAATTTAGAGGCAGCAAACATGGATTGCAGAACCTGCCACTTCTCAAAGCACTGCCCGTGCTTCTGAGGATAATCAGAGTTTATCCCCGCGACTGCGCGCAAAGCATTATTCAGGGAGGCCACTCTGAATTATTTCTTCCCTTTAGGTGTAAATGAGGTTTGTGCTCCTCTGTGTTGGCAGGCCCACTCCCTTCTGCAGTGGCACGAGTCCCACCAGTACTGCAGCAGAACGGGGCAGCCCACTCAGAAGAACCCAGCTGGCAGCAAACGCGTCTGCCACGCCAGCGGAGTCACTTACTACCCACAGGTGAGCCCCTGGCAGCAAAGGTGAGCAGGAGAAGGGATTTGTGCTCAGCTGGGTGTTGGAGTCAGGCACAGAAAATATTCCCTTATCTGTGCTGACAGGCTCTGGCACCCAAGAGAGCACTGAGTTTAGCCTAAAGCTGTGGAGACAGCTTCTAAAGTTAAGTAAAAAAACTAATAATGTGAGTGTATAAGTTAGATAGAGTTATCTTAAGTCATGGGGTGAAAAAGTTAGAGTTTGGAGTTTTAGTTATATTAATAAGTGGATCCATGATGGAAACTTTGGGGCATTGTCTCTTCTTGTTGTTCATCTTCTTCTTCTAAGGGTTTTTGGGTAATTGTGGGTGATTGGATAAAAACATCCGCATTGCAGCACACAGGTGTCAGGTCACTGTGTCACTAAAGAAAATAAGTGACTTGGCATTTGATTATTGGGTAAATAGACACAGAAAAGGCCTTGGAGAGATTCTTAGTGTATATAGAGAGAGCTTATTGTATATAGCTCCTTGTAGTCTTACATGTGTAATATAGATAAGGAAAGAATAAACAGCTAAGCCCGAACACGAGAAAACAGTTTGTCTCTCATCAATCTCGGTCCTGGGGACCGACAGTGTCACTGTGACAGCTGGGTACTTTGTCTTTAATGGCCAACCAGCCAGCAAAAAGCAAAAATTTTCACTTGTTTAGTCTGAGCTGCTTCTCTTGCTTTGGTGGTGCCAGATGTCTCCGGTGGTCATCGCCCTGGTGTCCGATGGGAGCCGGTGCCTCCTCGCCCGACAGCCCTCGTTTCCCCCGGGGATGTTCACGGCTCTGTCAGGCTTCTGTGACATGGGTAAGTGAGTTCTGGGCAGGCAGGGTGTGGGGACAGCAGCCAAATGCCTGTTCACAGAGAAGGATGGACTCAGGTGATCTGTGCCCCCATACCCAGGTGTGTTCAAGGCCAGGCTGGGCAAGCCTTTGAGCAGCCCAGTCTAGCAGAAGGTGTCCATGCTGATGGCAGGGGGTTGGAACTGAATGATCCTTAAAGTCCCTTCAGACCCAAAGCAGTCTGTGATTCTGTGACAGCTGGAAAAAACAAGAGATCAAAGCAGATTGGTGTTTGCATGCAGACAGAATTCAAAATAGCTGTTATGTACCTAAAGGGAATGGGAATTATAGGTGGTCCCTGATAGTAAACATAAGCTTTAAACTTGCTGGCTTATAACCTCTGACCCTTTCATAATCCATTGTGTGGCTGATGCAGCCTGGCTTAGAAGAAAAACTACAGATCCCTTGTTACAGGAGGGAAAATGGCTTAAAACTGAATTGTTCTGTCCACCTGTATGTATGTCTGTATGTAGATGGGGCCAAAAGTGTCTCTGGTGCCTGTGTTTATAGAAGTTGATGAATTTAATGGAGCATCCCGCCAGCAAGTGTTTCCAGGTCGGCACAGCTGGAGCTCCTGCTTGTGGGAATGAGCCTTGCCTGCGTTTTCCTGGCCACGGTTGGCTGCCCTGAGGCCGGGCCGTCCTTGCCCAACTCTGGTTGGTTCCAGGTGAAAACGTGGAGGAGGCAGTGCGGCGAGAGGTGGCCGAAGAGGTGGGGCTGGAGGTGGAGTCGCTCCGCTACTCGGCTTCCCAGCACTGGCCCTTCCCCGGCAGCTCCTTAATGATAGCCTGCCACGCCCTGGTGGGAGCCCAGCGGGCTGAGGTGAGCGGCTCGGGCTCCCCTGAGCCATTCCACTGCCGGCCTCAGGCAGCAAAATCTCCTTCGGTCCGCAGAATTTAGTCAGGAGAGCATCAAACCCTCCATAAATGCAATTTTTCATTGGCTTTTTCTGAAAGCGCAGGACAAACTTGGAAACAATCCCATCATCTTCTGTTGCAGGGTGCCAGATTTGGCTCAGATCGCTGGATAGACAAGCCCAGAGCCCAACACTCCTGTTGTTTTCCCTCTGAACTTTGCAGAGGGGTTTCCCTCACAAATTTGCCATAGAACCTGCAGGTTCTGCCACGTTCAGTGCTGTGCTCGGCCACTTTGCTTTGCCACAACGGAGCAGGGGCTGCTTTGTGGCTTCCCTAGGGAAGCCAGCACAACAAAATACTGATGGATAGTGATATCCTTCCCTGGAATGGCCTCAGTGCCTAATTCAGGCATGGATGTAACACAGGATCTCTGTGGAAGCAAGAACGGGCAAGGTACCACTGCCCACGTTCAAAGCTGATTTAAGGAGCTGGTGCCCTCTGAATTCTTTCCAGATTAGTGTGGACACCCTGGAACTGGAGGAAGCCCGTTGGTTTGGCCTGGAGGAAATTGTGGAGGGTCTCAAGAGAGAGCCCAGGTCTTCAAAGCGGGACGACGGTGGTTGTTTACCCTGGTTCCCTCCCAAACAGGCCATTGCTCACCAGCTGATCCAGGAGTGGGTTCAGCAGCAGACTGCCCAGACAGCTTAGGCAGGGCTCCATCCACTCTGTGATTTCACCAGAACTGTGAAAGCTCCACAGAAAAGCCTCCAAAGCCCCTGGAGGCAAGGGCTCTGTTACAGTGAGGATGGCTCTCGGACACACTGACCCACAGAGGTCTCTAGACTGATCTGACAGTCCCATGTACAGTGGATCACCTCTGGGATCCCATGATTTGAAGTAAATATACAATAAAATCCTTAGTTCCAAAACATCAGACTTATTGTGACCAGCTGTCACTGACCCCATGGCACCAATGTCCTGTTTTCCTCCATTTCTTCTGTCTTGGATGGACATGGAATGCACCCTTTTTTCCCAGAACAAAAATAAAGGGACAGTGGCACTTTCCAGTGTCTGTGTTTGTATGGATCTGGGAGAGCTATCAAAAACCAGAAGAAAAGCCACTTTGCCTGTTTGCTCTCCTCTTCTTCTGTCTCTTCCCATTCAATCTTCTATTTTCATATAAAATATCCAATTTTTTTAAAAAAAATTTTTTTTTTTTTTTGGTAAATGTTAGATGGGTTTCTACATTTCCCTTGCCAGTAAGACAGTTAGTTCTGTTCCAAGAAAGAGAGAACAGAGCTATCTGGTGGTAGAGAGGGGAAGAGCAAGACCTAACACAAGCATTTTAGACCACAGATAATGCGAGTGCGACAGGAACTGCTACGGCAAGAACTGCACTTAGAGAAAAGTCTTGAAAGGATCAGTGCCTCTTACCCTGAGGCCAAAGTCTGGGCATTGCCTAGAGAGCTGGTCTGATTTTACTGATGAAATGGTGCCACTTCTCAGGAGGAAGTGCAACAAGGAGACCATCTGGGCAAGGAAAACTCAGTGGAAGAGACAGATGAAAGGATGTTTGAGCTGCTGCTGGTTCAGGCCTTTCTGCCTGCTTGGTCAGAGCTCAGATGCTAAGATTGCATAAGATGCTAAGATTCACTGCAGGTGAGCAGTGGTAAAAATCTGGAGTCCTGACACCTGAGCAGCAAGGAAAAAAAATAAGTCACACTGTTGAGACACACTGTGTTTGTTCGGGTTTCACTTCAGGAGGCTGGGAGGGGATTCTTTCAGGCTGTGGTGGCACATATAAACACCCTTCCTGGTGATTTAGTTACCAATAAGATAAAAAATCTTTCAATCTACTCAAATAAAGTTGGGGTTTTTTTGGTAGAGCTAGAACAACTACAAGATAATAATCACATCTTCGGAAAAGCATTACATTTTAAACTGTTTGATAAAATCCTTAATCCAGATCCTTTTGACTTTGTTATGAAGCAGTATTGATGGCCTCCATTCCTGATGTTAAGCAAGCAGGAGTGATGATAGGCAGTTCACTTGCATTTGCCTCAGAAATCTGAAGAACTTCAGTTAGGACATGCTCCATGAAGGCAAGCGACCTAGAAGAAGGAACAGGCAATTCCTGACAGAGGCTTCCTCACCAAAACACAGCAGGGCTTTCCCATGGAAAAGGTACCAGGCAGGAAAAAGGGACAGAGCAACATACTTCTCTCAAGAATTCCCTTAACTGAATCCTCTTTGGGAACACTTGGCTTGCATAAATCACTGGGTCCCCTCTGCTTTTAGAGGTTTACAGCAAGACCCAGCACTGAAAAGCTGCCAGCTGGGGCAGTTGCTCACAGGTATTACCACTCAGCAGGATACAGAATGAGAGCATTCATCCAATTAATCAGATGTAACTTTTTGGTTAGCAGGCTGAGAGCAGCATTCCACCTACCTCCCAAAAGCAGCAGGGCATAAAACTCACGTTGATCTCTAACAGAGACCATGCCAGCAGAGGATTGAAGCAAATAAACATCATGACACAACTTGTTTGATCTCTGACTGCTCTGAAAAATCTTATCTGGAAACAGTGTGGGTAGAAAAATTCACTCACCACATGCTCTCCCATCACCTGGGCTGCTCTGGGTGGAAAGGCCACACTTTCCAGAGGGGTATTCATTGTGGATGGCAGCAAAATCTGACTTCAGGCTTTTACAGCTCTTGCATGAAGAAATTGTTTCACCTAAAAACAAGCTCTGAGACACTGTGGACACACACTGAGCCTGATGTTTGGCCTGAGAGGACATAGGCGCTCGGTGGAACGCCCTGACAGCCTGACCTGGTGAAAGTCATTTGTCAGCAAGCCTTTGTGAAGGAACCAGGAGCAGCTCACCTCTGGCAGCTGCAGTTGTCAGAACAACCTGTGAATTACACAGGTACAGTTCCTGTGTTCAGTCTGAGGCACTGCTTGAGCAAACTGAGCTGCCCCAGCCTTCAGCTCCCATCTCAGTCCTGCTCACTTTTCAGCCTAGCCACAGATGGAAAGCTGATAAAACATCCACTGTGCTCAGCAGTAGGTAGCATCCTTTAGGTAGAGTTCCACTGTTTTTATCCATGGAAGTGCTGCATAGGGACACAGAAGTTCTACTAGCATATTAAAAAGAAGCTGAATAACCAGGAAGGGTGAGGTTTGGGAAAGGGACAGAAGCAAGTTCACACATCATGTGATAGGTAACTATGGCTGCTGTGAGTATGTGGCATGGAGGACAGCTAGATTAAACTAGAATATATTCCAGAACTGTAACTATTTGGCCTTAGAACTGCAGGTAAGGTTAATAACCCTCACCAATTAAAAAAAGGGAAATTGGTCTGAACTAATTTAGACCACCATCTCTGCAGCCATTTGGTATCAGTACTCCTCTTCCCCACCAAATTACAAAGACTTTACTGGAAATCTCCCATTTTCTGTTTCCTGCCTGTCACAGTGGTCAAGTGACCTATGTGATTTCTGTGAATGAACTGAGCTTCACCTTCACAACAGCTTTGCTCCTCACTTCTCAGCCTTGTACCCTTGTGAAATTCCCTCTGGGAGCGTTGTCAGGCTGAAGGAGAGGCTCTATTCCAAACAGCCGTCCACACTTCACAGGAGTAACACACGGTGGGACGTTCTCCTGCCTGGATTAATCCCTTTCCTTCTTAGCTCCAGCCCAGAAACCTGGGAGCTGTTAGGGATTCCTTCCCATGGCATGGCCCCACACAGCTGATTCCCAGCCTGGAAGCACAGCAGGCACCGACTCCTGCACCTGCCGGTTGTTCCTACCCCATTTCCAGAGGCTGAGTTGTTACCGTGTGCTACTGCAAGAATCCAAACCAAGGTGTCTGTGGGATTTGGAGGGGCTCTCCTGGGGGCTGTGTGGGGTGGTCTGTGGGATTTGGAGGGGCTCTCCAGGGGGCTGTGTGGGGTGGTCTGTGGGATTGGGGTGAGGGGCCTGGGGTGTGTGGGAGTGTCTCTGGGATTCCTGTTCTTTTCCCCTCATATTTCCTGTCCTTTTTCAACTCGTGTTTCACACCCTTTTCTCCTCACCTTTCTAAATGCTTTCCTGCTTCTTAAACGTCACCTTTTCACCACTGTGCCATCTCCATTTTTTCACTCTTTTCAGCCTTTTTCCTCTGTTTTTTTCCCCCCATTTCTTTTTTGCCCAATTTTTTTCCCGCCCTTTTTTGCTGCCCTTTTTTCCTCCACACCTTTTTTCCCCACTCCCTTCTTTTCCTGTCCTTTTTTGCCGCCTTTTCCCCCACCTTTTTTCCTGACTGTTTTTCCCCCACCCTTTTTTTGCCGCCTTTTTCTTCCCCCCCGTCTTTTTTGCTGCCTCTTTTTCTCCCCTCAATATAAATCCCTCAAATGATGGAAGCAGTGGGGGTTTCTATCAATTTAAACCCTAAAGAATAAGGCACAACAGAGATTCCCTGTCAATTTAAACTCAAAGATGATGAAAATGGAGGGTTTGCTCTCATTTGAAACCGATAAAATTGCATCATGAAGGGTTCATGAAGGTTCCCTGTTCTATTTAAGCGAGAACACGGGGATTCCCCATCAACTGATATCCCTGAAATAATGGGCAAGGCAGGGTTTCTTTCACTTGATACCCTTAATACTGCAGGTGAATGGGGATTCCCCCAGTTTAAATACAGACAATAAGGGATAAAATCCCTCAGTTTAAAACTCTCCTTCAAGGAAGAGGTTTCCTTTTCTGAGGAGGAATTGAGGGCACTGAGGAAGGATTAGGAAGATGAAATTGACCTCACATCCTTCCCTGGCAAGGAGTTTTCCTAGGGGAATAAAGAAAGCTGGCAAAAGAAATTTCCACCTCAGGTTTGCCAGAACAGATGCTCTTGAGTTCCAGTCTGAAGACATAAATGTCCATGGGGAGGGCAGCTGCTTCTGCAGCCTTTGCAGCATCCCAGGGGATGCTGAGGAGGTGCAAAGGGTCTGCTCTGAGTCCCCCTGCTAGGGAAAACAAAACCCAGTTTCTCATTTGAGAGAGTGAGAGAAGCAGCTGCAGCAGGAGCTGTGTAAACATTCCTTAAAAATGCTTTTCCACCACTGCAACTACCACGTGCCTGGAGATTCCCATGCTGGAGCCTTGGAAAGGAGGGTCAGGGAGGCAGGTGTCCTGCAGGGAGGTGATCTTTCATGGCATCCACTTACAGCAAAAGGACCCCAAAACCAGTTTATTTGCAGGAGGAGTTGAGGGCTGCTGATTCCTGAGACTACTCCATAAAACTCACC